GGGATGACTTAAGAGTTTGGTAACGGGACAGTTGCCCGGTGATGTGAGCTTCATGGAATCGCGGTTCCGGAAGTGCAAGGAACGCCTCCGAGTCCTCCGGCATGAATTCGGGGGCCCTGATTTGGGCCCAGAGTGTTTCGCTGTCTATGGAGTACTTATGATCGGGGCTAGTCATACTTAAGCGTAAATATATCATATACGATTGTCGAACGGGTTACTAAAATCTGATCGAATAGCACTTATGATGAGAAATACGTTGGAAAAGCGTAAAGGGAAAAATTCTGCAAAACCGCTAACTAGAGATAGGTATAATATAAAATTATACGAAAGGGAGCGTATCCGTGAAAATAAATGCGCGGACAATTTATCAGAAATGTGACCTGGAGAAATTAAAATTACTCCGAAAAGAAAAGCAATTCCAATGTAAATAAAATGAAATGAGGGCTCACCAGTTGTAGGCACTAGGTTATCGATACCCCGAGCTAATACGTATAGGTCGCAAACGTACGTTCGTGCGAAAACAGAACGCAGGGATTCACGAAACGGAGGACGGGTTGTACTTTTACAACCTGCAGAGGAATAGACAGATACGGAAACGTGCTGAAAGTGAAAGCAAACACGTGCTGACCAAGGAGATGGCCGTGGTTTGGTAAAAGAAAGAGATGCACTGGAAGAAAGGTACATGTAGGATGGGATGTGCATGATCACTACATGTGCGATGGGGGCACTGAATAGTCTGGAAAGTGGAACAGGCAAGTCGTCGGCCGGTGGACTCAAGAAAGCAGGGTGGATGCCATCTGGCCCTGCTGCCTTATTTAACCTGAGCTCCCTTAAGACCCGATGCACTTCATCTGCTGAGATCATCACTTTCAGCATGAGAGTTCTCTCATAGTTGCCTATGGGATGCTCTGGTCTACCGTTGTCTGGTCCGTAAATCCCCTTGAAGTAGTTGAGGAGGGCTTTAGTCTTCTCTTGGCTGGACCAAGTTTGTTTTCCCCTGGAGTCAACAATTGTGCCTACTCCCTTTCTAAGGGTACTCTTTGACTTCATATAGCGTTTCCAGTCAAGCGTTACTCGTACCGTTTTTTGCACTCGGGGTATAAGCTTCCTATAACGGAATGTTACACTGTCCGTGACATTAAACTGTGTCAATTTTGACGCCCCGGCACGGTCCTTTGTAATGCAGACTAAAGGGCACAGTGGTTATAGCTTTTTTAAGCGCTGTACTTCCGTTGGTGTGCACGACGGAATGAAGGTGATATTTTCGCTTGAATAAAATCAACCATAAACTGATGCATATTTTTTCGCCAGATGTGACGATGCACAGCATTTTGGGGAGTCACCGTTTGAATAACTATCGGTTGACATGGTGCAGCTCTTCCCTTTAGAGTATATACACAGTCTGCTTAGGTTACTGCAAGCGTCTCCTCACTACCTAGCAAACATGACCAATACCGAGGGATTTCCGAATCAGCGCTTTCCATCTCCGACGGATATCACTTCGCTTGGATGAACTGCAGGTCCCCGGTACCGTGCGATTTTCAACGCAAGTGCCGTGGTTTTGGGGATTTCAAAAGATGGCAAGCCACAGAATTCGGGCAGTTTCTGTTGTATTTGGGACCGGCCATCCTGGCTGACATTTTGGGAGCGGAGAAGTACGAATAATGTTTGAACTTTTCAATTTAGTTTTCACACCCAGTGCATTCCAGGCACTACGCTTCCTTTGTTGGTGAAATGATTCGCAGCCTATTTAACCAGGTCGGAGCGCCATACGGTGAGCAAGAGTATGTATACAACACACACTATTTACTTCATCCTCCAGACGATGTACTACTCAGAGGCGTCCTAGATAACTCTTCAGCATTTCCTTTCGAATGGTACATGAGTGAAATGCGGAAGATGGTTAGATCTCCACGAATACCTGTGGAACAGGTATTCCGCAGAATTATGGAAAGGGGCATGGATCCCATATTCGCTATCAGTGGCCAAATTGATGACTCTTTGTGTCCTCTAACGTTGCGCTTGGCTACTGGTAGGCAGGTGCATGTACGACCCTTTTTTCATGAAAGAGAGACCGGACAACGCCATCATTGTTGATGATAAACCTGCACTGGTTTTTGATGTCAAGTCAGGTTCTTGACACATTCAACATATGCGCGGAACAACCTGTTATTTGAGAGAAGTATTTTGTCGACGGACTTGGGCATATTTACATGCACACAACCGAAAGAACATTGTCTCTCAAATATCAAAAAACAAAGTACAATGCAAGTGTGTAGCTCTCCCACATAAGAACCGGTTGGTGTTCTACCCTTTGTTGCACACATGATCTATGTGATAATGTAATGTAATGGTAATGTTTCATGTTATTTTTAACTGTATCCAACTTGTTCTTGCAGATAACTGTGACAAGGATGGTTGCTCCTTTCTGCTAGGCCAATCACACGTCTTACAGCCGAATTGCCCTTCACTATCCAATATTTCCTCCTAAGGGATGCCAGAACGTGTGAAGTACCTGAATGCCCTTCGATGCTATGGTGATGTCGTATAATAAGTTGCGACACGGGATGACGATTTGGAAGGATGATCGGATGTTTGAATGCAGTTGGGTAATTGGAATATCCCAGACGTCTACCCACACAGAGCAGACCGTTCAGCATAACTGGACAGAGTTTATGTATAAGTCCAAACTTGTGCGCGTCTTCCGCAGNCGCAGTTGCTTTTAGCCATTTCTCCCCCGGGTAAACCTCACTTGCACCATCTTGAAGATATTAATTCCGGTCTCAGCTATCTCTCGCATGGTTATTCTCTCGTGTGGTAGGCACTCACCCGAATGGTGCATTTTCCGAACACGGAGATATAAGGTGGACCTTGCCAGCTAGACCATCGCTTTGGTGAGTCGCCACCTGTCTGAATAGTGATAGAAGAGCGAGTTGAACGCATGGGTGGCAATAGTCGCGTTTATGTTTGCAGACTCTTTTATTTCGATGCCCTCTGGGATAGCGTCCCACGCTAGCTCCTCCGGGGAAGTGATCAGTCGATCCTGTAGGAACGTAGGTCCCTTCAACCACTCTTCTAGATCTTTCTCGTGGTATATACCTCTCGAGGTCCAGTCTGGGGGGTTCTCCTCCGACTTTACATGCGCCCACTTACAAGTAGAAGAAAATTGATGGATTAATCCGATTCGGTTGGCTATGAACGTACTGAAGCGAGTATTCGTATTCCTTATGTAGTAGAGTACAATCATAGAGTCTGTCCAGAATCGAACCTCATCGAAAAAATTTGACAGACTTCTTCTCAGCATATCACAGATGCGCGCGCCCAACGCAGCCGCTGCTAGCTCCATTCGAGGTATCGTCACGGGTTTAATGGGTGCCAACCTCGATTTACTGTAGAGCAATACACAATAGGAGGACGTTCCCTTGGGGGTACGCCGGACGTAAGCAACTGCACCATAGCCGGATTTCGAAGCGTCGCAAAATATGTGCAGTTTGGTTTTCCCTGTCTGCTGCGGATTCCCGTTGCGTATAGCCCTTGGAGTGCTGATTTTCCCGAGTCGACTAGTGAACGCCATCCACTCATCCAACAAGTGAGAATACTCGGATGTCAGCTGCTGATCCCAACCTAACTGGGCTTTACACAGACGTTGCAACAATTGTTTAGCAGGTAGGCAGAGCGGGCGATTCGTCCAAGGGTGTCGAACATGGAGGCCACGGTCGATGATATGTTTCTCCTAGTTTTGGTAGTAGAAGTTGCGTTGAACGAACACGTCTTCAATCGTATTCCACTTCAGAACCAACGCTCTTTGTGAAGTATCAACCGGGGAAGGGACCTGTACTGTGGTGTCTGCTACCCCGGAGTGTGGGAGGGAGTTCGTCACCAACGGCGAGTTCGACATCCACTTTATCAAATTAAACCCTCCTCGAAGTAACATCTCGTTTATCTCTCTCGCAAAAAGAGACGCTTGTTCGCAGGAAGTAAGTGATATAAGACAATAGTCGACGTAAGATTTGTTTTCTATTGCCTCAGAGACTGACCGATCGTAGAACACCCCAAAGGTTGAGACGGTTTTGCGCAGCGCGAAGTTGGAACAAAAGGGGGATGACGTAGCACCAAACGGATAGGACACCATTTTGAACTCTGTAATTTGTCTGTTCACATCTCCTGTCCACCAGAGGTAACGTAATGCAACTCTGTCTTCCTCTGGCACCTTGACCTGCATAAACATTTCCTCAGAATCGGCCAACAAGCTCCTTGCGAACCCGAAGGAGTACTGAGACAAGGTTCGCCGTTGTGTCAAGTCCTTGTAGCACCATATTGTTCAATGACTTGCCAATGTACTTGACGGCGCAGTCTAACACTATACGGATCTTATCCGTTTCCTTTGGCTTGATCACGCCACGGTGCAGCAGATACCATTTCAGCCGATATTCTTCGTAAAGCTGGTAGGCGGGGACATGGGTCGCATACCCCTTATCGATCATTAGTTTTATCGCTTATACGTACCTGTTTCGTAGGGCTTCGTCACGCACCAAACGGTACTTAAGTTGATTCAAACCGACCAACGCCGATTCATTATTTCTCAAACCGGTATTGGCGCCTTTCCTCCACGGAAGAGGCACTACAAAATGACCCTCGGTGAACCGCGTTCCGTTTTCCACTATTCGGATGGCTTCCATGGGAGGTGTAAGCCTGTGTGTGGCCTCAGCGTCATCTAACGGGTCTTCTTTCAGCATATCATCGTGATCGAAACGAGGTGTTCTGAGCTGGTGTAAAGAATCGGCAGAAGAATGCAGGAAGTTCGCGGAGTCGCCGCAATCAGTTATTCTAGATGAGTTCAAGTTTTGTTGCAGATCTAAGAGTTCTTCTCGTTGCTTTTCTTGGAAGTGTCTTAGATCCAATTCTTGTCGCTCTTTTAGATGCCTCTGTTTCAACTCTGACAATTGAGATTTATCACTTAGACGGCTACTGTGCCGACTAACTACACTATTATTATCGTATTAGTATACGAGAGCCATGAACAAAAAACCAAAAAGAGGGACTTGCCGGGGATAATCGAGGGCGATAATTTTCCCGGCAGCATCAGTTTTGGAAGTCGACTTTCCATTTCGTGTTACTGGCATTGTAAATGAATTTCCAGTTGAATGCTCTTCACGATTGGCTAGAGTCATGTTGAGTACTGTAATTTCCAAAACGACATGTTCTGGCTCGACCGTAGCACGAGTGTAATTGACTATTCTACCATCGTTCTTTTTAGTGTCAATGAGACCGTTGAGCAACGCGTAGCGAAATGCGAACCCCGAAGTCAGAACGGTATTGATTCGCAATGCGTACGGTACTGTTTGTTTCATTAAGCAAGTCAAAGAACAACGTACCTCAACAATGCGACTCAATCGCCATACAGCCAAAAGGGTGAGTTCAGGACAGGACAGATCACAGGACTTGCGGCGGAGCCAGAAGCAGTCCAGTTTCTTGCACCAATGAGCTTGGGAGCACCACGGCGCTGCGACAATTGTATTATTTCGTTCACGTAGGCGTGCGTGGGTGCGGTTCTGGAAAAGGAAAACGCACTTCTGATGTGTCCTCTGAGTGACAGTACACGTCTGAGGTTTTACCAGGATCAAAGCAATAGCTCGCAACCAACCACTCCGAGCTACCCAGAGTAAAAGGTGTGTTGGGAGAAGAAGTATGTCCTAAAATTGATGGTGCTGTATGTTGAGAAGTTTCAGTAAAATGTGGTGCACAGTGAATAAAAAAATGGAG